TGCCTTTGTCATGAGGATATCTTCAGCCCTTTTTATATTGTTGTTCAGCAATCATTTATAAATATGTATTAAACATAGTACTGGGAGTGGGTTCTGTTTTAAATCAACACTATACATTGGATAAAAAGCATTTAACGGTCATGGATATGTAAATTTCAAGTATCACTCATTGCTTGCCTGCCTGCCTACCTTCCCGGGTTTCTTTCTGTCTGATCCTTAGCTCCCAAATGAATGTTCACTTCAGTTGGACTTCTGTGTGTTTGCTATAGATAGCTAGATAGAAAGACAGACAGATAGGTAGATCGATAGAGTTCATATTTACTTTGGCTTTGGTTTCCTGGAAGTGTTTGTTCTTGTTTAAGACAAAACTCTTTCTCAGTATTCTCTGTTATTTAAAACACCATCAAATTGTCACCAGAGAGGAAATACTAGTGTTTTCCCTGTCATCAAAGGAAAAGTCCCATATTAAGGTTATCCCCACACTATTCAGGGAAGACCTTACAGGATGACTGAGAAACTGCCAACCTGTGGAGCTGATTCAGAGATCTCAGATCCAGGAAACTCTTTGGCTTTGACCCAAGCCATGAATGTCCCTGCTCCTCCAATCATAATTCAGTGGGACATTATGACATCATCAGTGATGATATGGCATGGTCTCCAGTTCCTAGAGCTCCCTCCAGTCCCAGCCGGTTATTGCAAGTACATTCCTCTACCATGAGTGTGGAGCACCTAAAAACAACCGATCCACATGTATCTTGAGGTGACAGACTGGCTCTGGTGATTATTTCCATTTTTCATGTTTGGTTGGTTCACCCACTTCAACAGGGCTCTGGTGGTCTCATTTTCTAAGACTGGCCTGGCCTTGATTTCTCTAGGCTGCCCCTGATATCCATCCTTCTGTCCTTTCTTGCAGTTTAATTTTGGAACTTTGCCCAGATTGTGGGAAACAGCTATAGGCAGTCAGGCCCCTGGTCCATTGGCCAGGACCATCCCTACCTGGAACAAGAAGTAGAGCTGTCTAGTTCCCTGACGCCGCAGTTTGCTCCTTGAAATGAGGAAGCTATCTTGAACTCTGAGGGCAATATGGGTTTTGCTACTGCCCCACTATTGCTACCTATTGGTATGCTTAATCCCTTCCTTTCCTTATCCTACCTACCCCTTCTATATTTTATCCTAATATATTTCTGGCCTAACCAGCCCTGAATATTAGAATTTGATACCTGGGATAAGTTACATGAATTAATTTCATTGTATTTTTACATTTGTAATGAGGACCTTCTGAATCTTAGATATATAGACAGATTCATGTAAATAAGCAGTCAAATTGGCCATCCTCAGATTAAAGGCAGAAAAACCTGTGCCTCTGTGCCCCAGAGTGCCTTTAAGTGCAATTATGCATCTTAAAACAGTCCCTTGGTGTGTTTCAAAGGTCTCTATTCTGCTTGTTTAATTCTAGCTAGATAACTTCACAAAGACACGTATTGGCAGTCTCAGTTTGTTCTTTCTCTTATACAAGCTTTGCTTGAAAGACAGACTGCGAAGGTATACAATTCTCAGTTTTCTGTGTTTCTTTATACAGTACTTGACAGCAAACATAGGACTTTGCAAATATTTAAATGGAGAACACAGTTTGTCTTAAAAATGGACTTTTTAAGCATTTGCAGCAACACTATTATTTTCAAGTGGTTGGATTGATTTGATGGATTTGCCTTGAAAAATGGTAATCTTCTTTACTATTTACAAATGCTCATTAGTGCTTACTGGTCAATACAAATAGATATGTATGTAAAGTATTTTCATTATTATCTTGAAATGTTTCCAACAGTATTTGATTCTTCTTTCTTGTTACCTCTGTGTCAATGCAGGAGAGTGTCCCTGAGAGAATAATTGGATCAGGTTGACAAATATTTACCTTTGCCAAAATTTGTCACCCAGTGCAAAGAATGGTGTTTTTGATTTGGGGTTTTCTGGTCCAGACCCTGTGATTTCATTTGTGGGGGAGGGGATAACTGCAGATGATCATTCCCATCATCTTCCCTGAAGAGATTCCCCTGGGACACTGGCTGAGTCACTTGTGCCCATGGTCACATCGATGACGTGTTTTGGAAGCAGGCTGACCTTCAATCTACTTTTCCCCACTGTCTTTCAGTGCAAGGTTTTTTTTTTTCTTTAATCCAAAACTATGAGGAGTAAATTTTTAATGTTTTCCTCATTAAATTATACAAGTGGAACAATCAGCCAGTCTTTCCCATTCAGTGGCAGAGCTCGTGGTTTGAAAAGTGGCTTAGTTCAGAGGCTACCACGCTCGTCCTCAACCTACCTTTTCCTAACAGAAGCAGGTCCTGGGCACATACGCATGATAAGCTATGATGACTACAATGGGCACAGTCTGAGAGAGGGAAAGGCATTCATCAGGAGACCAATGTCAGGCATCTGTCCAAAATAAATAAGTAAATAAAAACAAGCCTCTACAGCAGAAATAAAACAGTTGTTTTATAAGTAGAGTAACGCATATCAAGATCCCAAATGCCTAGCCAAAGTCATGTTGGAATACATCAGTAAATATTTACCGCTAGACAAAACGCTAAGTGCATGAGAAGGCAAAGGCCTGGGAGTACTCTACCCAACACTCCTCCTTATGCTAGCTCTAGCCTCTACTCTACACAGGTATAGAAGCCTGGTAGTGATTTAATGGGTTCTGGGAATCTCATTTGGTCTTGAACAGATCAGGGAAGTTGAGTTTGGCCCTAGGTAAAGTCTAATCTAGAACTATGAATTACTTTCAGAAAAAAACACGGACTTATTAATGTCTGTGTACGTACACGTGTGAGGACAGAGCCAGTGATGCCTAGGTGTATCCCAGACCCACCCGATTGTAGACTTGCCTTGACCTGGACCTGAACTTTCAGGTTATTCAGACACACATCCAAACCCTTTAGAATGATTTAGTGTTTAATGATATAAAAGCACAAAATGTCAGCCATGAAAGGAGTTTATGTACATGAGCCATCCCACTCATGACTTAGACTGAGGTCCAAAGAGGACATAACTAGTTCAAGGACACATGGTGTATTATTAATATTATTATTATTCCTTTGATATTTCATGGAAGACTTCTTCCCTACTGAATACTAATCTCCTTTAGGCCTGTGAACAGGTCAAAAAATTTTTTTTATTTCTTCCTCAGTACAGTCTACATAAAAGTTGCTCAATGAATACTTACTGCTTGAATTAAGTTTGTTATCTTAAAATAGACGAATGCCCCTAAAACAAGGATGGAACTGGTCTATTCTTCAGGCATGGGTCCAGGGCAAAAACAACTGTCCTAAGTTTAATTTCTTGACCCAGTTTTAAAGGAACACTTGATAAAATGAAGGAGCTGAACTAGATGCCTTCAAATGTTGCTTCCAGCTCTTTCTATAAGGCTATAATCCTCTTTACAATGGGGCCAGCTGGCCATGCAGTACTCCTATGGTGGAATACTATCCACAGTGGAATTCTCAGGCACTTTTCCTGCTCCCTCCCCCCCAACCCCTTTCACCCGGCATTGGGGTAGGGTTGTCCTAGGGCAAGAGAAATCCGGAAAGAGGCTGGTTACAGTCCTCCTCCCAGAGCATTGAGGCCAGTATATGGCTAGATTTCCATTGATAGATTCTATTAGGATAGCAGCATCCATCCATCCATCCATCAGGTGAGAAGAAAATTGGATTTGGAGTCAGAGAACTGGGTTCCAATTTGAGTTTTGTGTTGTGGTGTTGGGCAAGTTATTCAGCATCTCCATACCTGAGTTTCCTCATCTGTATAAGGATGGGCTGTACTAGATAATAACTTACAGTTCTCCCTCTATCATTCTGTTATTCAACTCATTTAGTTGTCTAGATAATTTACAGGAAGCAATTGTGAGGTGGGGAAGACTTGAGGGGCTGACCATGTTGGACTCTCTGCCTGGCTGCCTCTGAAACTGAGGTCAGCCCTCTCTTCCCTTGGCAGAGGCCTGGGCGGTGCGGGGTGGGGGGGGGGGCACCTCTTCTTGGGATCTGGCTCCCAACCCCCCCATAAGCTCTCTGAGGACAGGGTCTGCTTTTTATCCCTAACCCAGGCCAAGTAGGAAGCGTGGGCTGTGTTTAATGAGTCACGATATCAGGACAGGAAGGAAGCCAGTTTAAGGAGCCCTTAGTCCAGTGTCCTTACTCTGTGTGTGTGTGTGTGTGTGTGTGTGTGTGTGTGTGTGTGTGTGTGT